TTTATCTAATAAAATCCAAATTTACTTTAAAATTTGAATAATTTGAATTGTTTACATCTGTTTCTATGGGCTTTAAAAGTTTAATAAAGGTGGATAAATTAGGATTTTATGCATCTTATATACGTGTTTTACTTGAATTATAGTATGGAGCTTCGATATATTTGTAAACTTTTAAAGTATAGACAAATTTTAATAAAACAGCCGATTCTGGCAGGTTAAGTGGATCTTTTTTTGTGCATAAGCATAAATTCCGCCGAAAAAAAATCCACAGAAAGATAATGGATTGATCTTTCTAAAGCATTAACTTGCATCCCGGCGACAGTTTTTTGGGAAAAAATCCAAAAAATGGGCAATAATTGCACCGAAAAGAGAAAGTCGAGTGCACCTTTTTATGTTCGGGCGTGTTTGAGTTGACTATTTTGTCTTGAAAACGTATAAAGCAAAAATATTTGATACATCATCTCTCTTCAGATTCTATTATTTTTATATATTTAGGGTAAATGTTTATTTAATAACTTTAAAAATTCACAGTACTAAACAATGAAATATATGGGTCAAGTGAAATACCTTTCTAATGAGTCATAAAAACAGAGTAGGTGTGTTCGAATAACATTTTTTTATTAAAAGTACTTGACGACAGACTTTACAACTGGATCTTAAAAATGCTTAACATAAAAAAAAGTTCATTTTTTTGTTTGTGTTATCTAGGGTTACAAGTCTTCAATCTCTGAAAATTTTTAGTCTGCCCTTCCACGAAATATTTAATTAGAATTTTTTTTAATTTTTTGAACTTTCGACAATTCCACATGACAACCGATCAGACAATAGTTTTAAGTTTACTGAATGCATAAAAGTACATAAAATGATGCTCAATAGCTAGTAGATACATTTGTCTTTTAAAATACAACTGGCATAGAAGGATCGTAATGGTGCTAAGTGGAGAAATTAATCAGTTTTCAAGGTCTAAATTGGCAGCGCGTCATCCCTTCAATGGCTTCCATTTTTACGATTGTAAAAATTAACTGGCGTAATGGGGAGATAATTTTGACGAAGTAGAATCCTGACTGCATAAAGCTACTTAAGTTAAGATTTCCAATCGTAATACTAATTTATCGTAGGACACGTAGAAAAATCCGTCCGTTCGGAACAAATCTTAACTAAAGTAGCTTTATGCATAAGGGCCCTGGCATTTTATGCAAAAAGAATGCGTTGCGTAAATAAACTCATCATAAATACCAGGATTGAAATTTTGTTTTTGCGCCAGACGCGCGTTTTTTCGTCTACAAAAGACTCACCAGTGACGCTCGAATAAAAAAAGTTAAAAAGTACAAATAAAGAAATGAAATACTGCTACTTCATACTAATGAAGAAAGAAAAGAACCCAGCTTCATTTTCCGCTATATGGATGATGTTTTTCAATAAGTAATTCAATGTTCGGTGACTATGTTGATAGCATCTATCCCATCAAACTTGAAATATAGAGGATACAACAGGTACAGTCAAGTCTGCAGACCCATTGGTGGCCTTCGGCTGTTGTCTGCTCTATGGTCGGGTTGTTGTCTCTTTGACACATTCCCCATTTCCATTCTCAATTTTAATCATATCTTGACTAACATCTATAAATTGACAATGAGGGTCGGTTGAAAACAAAACTTTACGACAAAAGAGTTGATTTTAATAAGCTTCCCAGTTGCGGACCTTCCAATATGTAGCAGCTCCTACCTATGGAGTATATATCTCCCAGGTGATACGATTTTTCAGGACTTGCATTTCCTATCATGATTTCCTTACTGCTTACTAGGAAGCTATCAAACCAAGAGTTCAAAGTGTTGAATTTAATAGCATCCGTAAATTTTACGAACACCATAACGTGTTGTTCAATAAACGTTATGAAATATCTCTTTCACAGATGACGACGAATATGTTCCAAATGTCGTAACCACAATCCCTTCCCCTTTTCCCCGATTGTGACCTACCGAGTTAGACTTATCACCGGGTTTGTACTTACATCAGCAACACGACAATTGCCACATGTGGAGCAGGATCTGTTTACCCTTCCGAAGCACCTGAGGTCATCCCAGGTTTTTGGTGAAGTTCGTGTTTCTCAGTCTTTAGTTTTCTATGTTGCGTTTTGTACTATCGTATGTCTTTTTGTCTTTTTCTTTTATTGGGCCATGGCGTTATCAATATTTTTTCGCCTTATGGGTTTGACTATCTGTTTGGTATCTTTCGCCTCTCTTTCATACAAATACTCTTAATTTATTTTATTTAAAACAAATCAGCTTTATTTGATCCTGATTTTTTTTATTCTTGTAATACATCGTGGTAGGAAACGTGTACGGGGACATGACGTTGATTCTAGATATGTGTCCGTTTCCAGACAAAGCAATAGCAACATTTACTTTGGAGTTTGGACAAATCATTTCTTTCAAAAGAATAAAATAGTTCTTTATTTATTCTATGATCATCTTCAATACAGAGCAATTTGTCGATTTCAGGTGATTCAAAAATGAATTTGAGATCAGTTCAGATAAAGCTAATGTCCAATAGATTCAGAATCTATGGACGCAAATACAAAATTATTGGTTCATTTAACAAACCTTCTACTTTTAAGCCACATAATAGCAAAATATCACAATAATTTTCAAATTAATATGACATTGCTATAATCTAGGAACTAGATTCATAAGTGACGGCAACTGGTCTTCGAACCCATAAAATGTCATTTAAAAAATCAACAAACTAGTTACCGGCAGCTCATGTTCAAAATTGTTTTAGAAAAACTGAAAATGTCTTAAGGTAACTGGCACTAAATCTGTAGAACGTTCGAAAGTGTGATTTTTATTTCATTCATCAGTTTTAGTTTTATTTATTTTTTTGTGCATTAATGCTTTCTCGGCACACAAATTGTATTTTGATATATATAATGTTTCCATTGTCATTAAAAAAAAGTTTATTGCAGCTTCATATACAATTTAAGTACTTGTTCTAAATTGAATAAATATTCAAATGCAAATCATAGCAAGTAAACTAAGTATATGGTATATTTGATATAATGCATCTTTTATATAAAAGTTCCAATAGTCACAAAAAAAAAAAAGGTTAGTACAAATAATTTCGAATCTCGAAAATACATTCACATAAATGTCATTCTAAAACAAGTACTATCTTTAAAAAAGATATCCGACTACTTCAGAAGGGAGCATATTTTTAAAACCTACATTTTCTAAATCTTTTTGATTATCTGTAATTGCCCTAAATTTGACACCAACAGTCGGACTATTCTGAGGATTGATCACACACACACATGTATCTAACGAATATACATATAATTTTATCAGTTATTGAACTTGTTAATATATGTACAGTATTTTGGACTTTTATTTGTTTGTTAGTGAATTGGTCGAGTTTATATACCAATAAATTCCTTTAGAAAGGCGTTTAATATTTTACACTCTATATTTCGTTTCGGTAAATATTCATATGACATACTTGCTTGACTTAGTCTTCTTCATTTCTTGTGGAGCATCGGGCTACCACAGTCGCTTCTCACCGTGGCCTAGTAATACAGATAAAAAGCAAGGACGGACAAGGTGTGGTGAATCCTTTGCCATCTTCTTCTCTTTAGCTGTTTAATTACTGGTTCCTGCAAAAATATTTTTTATATATGACATTACTGTTTTGTTTGTTAAGTATCATGTTTCTGATAAATATTATCAAATATCATTAAATAAAATCTGGTTTTGTTTCCGAATGACTCCAAAGTAGTTGTTTTTTCGATGCTAAATTCCTCAAAATGTACGGGAAAACTCATTTACTTGGTTGCCATGTCAACCGTGGCCAAGCAACATTTTGACATTTTTCTTACTTTTTTACCTGATAACATGTTTTGGCTAAGTTCAGGAAAATCGGTGACTATGCGTGCCGACCCCCTTATATGAAATGGTTGATGGTTACAGAGAAATTTGTTTGTTTTCTTTAATTTTTAGTGGGGAAGGGGGGGGGGAATGATTTAAGGTGGATAATAAAATATTGAATCTGAATCTGGATGTAAAAATTCAAGAGGTGCCAAATTATACATTATATAGATAAGATAAGATAAGATAAGATATATTTTATTACAATTTAAGGGCCCACTAGGGGCATATGGAAAATACATGTATAAGGAAAAAGAAACATTGATTAGCAGATACATAGAATTTAAATACACAATAACAATACAATTAGACTGTAAAAAAGCCCTTGTATATCATAGTATATGATATATTTATATGCGAAATAAATAAATCTAACTCATATTGACTTGAATATATTTTCCAACAGCATTAAGAACCTGATTGTCTTCACAGCTTAATAACTTAATATATGAATTTTTGCTGTTTGTCCTGTAAAGTAAAGTTTTGTATTTTAATTATGGCAAACAAGGTCAAAGAGAGCAACTCTTTTAGAGTTAAATTTTTTCACATGAATTTAAAAAAAATGGATTTCATCTTCACCACAGCCAGAGGAGCATTTTTTTGCAAATTTTTTCATTTCGTGTGATATTTGAAAAACGGCCCTTTATAGTTCTGAAGCTTATGAGCAGAGATACGAATAGCTCTTCTGAATTCATAGTTTTTAACCAAAGAGAGATAATTTCCATAGCCAAAATTTAGTTTAAATTTCATATAATTAAATAATTTTCCATTAGAAGCACTTTTTGGGCTAACATACCAATCATTGTTTAAATATTTAGTGTGAATTAATTTGTTATATATATTCAAAGATTTATATCCAAAATGTTTTACTTCTTGTTTAATTTCAAAAACTTCTAATAATTTCTTAACAAATGAGAACCAAGAAGTTATGTTAGATTTGTGAAGCTCTTGGTAAAAAAAAAAGCGAGGTAAAAGTGTTATTGATCATTTCACCAGATTAATCGCGGGAAATGAGTTATGTCCCTTTTTATTTACATCAATCGTTCGGATGTAAATTGTTTTTACATTTCGCGTTAGGAAAAAGTCCGAAAACACTATGCTAATGCAGCTGTCGGAATGGCGATGACATTCGTCAATCATATTTTATATGAAAACTGGAGTCCAGCATTAGTTTCTGATTGGATCAAAGGTATAGAAAATATGTTATGTCTGTGAAGTAGGATTGTGTTTATATTTGATAGTTACGTACGACCAACTGGCGCATTCTGAAAGACTTGAAATCACACACCTGGTTTTCCCTGCACTCTCAGTTAGAATTTAATTGATAGGCAAATAAAACACTATGATTTAATGGTGATTCAATCAAGATGAATTATTGTAACAAAAGTCCTTGTCATTGATTGATTGATTGATTATTGGTGTTTTAACGCCACTTTTAAGCGCCACATTTGGGCTATATCGTGGCGGTCAGTTTTTATTGGTGGAGGAAGCCAGAGTGCCCGGAGAAAACCACCGACCTTCGATAGGAAAACTGGCAATCCTAGTCAATTAAGATTGGAGTCGAGTGCACCCGCACGAGCGGGGTTCGAACTCACAACCTCAGTGTTGACTGGCTAGTGATTACAGTAGTAGAACTACTTAGACCACTTGGCCACCAAGGCCCCCTCCTTGTCATTGAAGTGAGTTTATTTATCCCTAAACTACTCTCATGTGTGATTTGATTGATGATTGGATGTTTAATGCCCAGCAGCAAATATTTCACAGGTTGGATTGATGGCTGCGTGGCTGTTAAACATCCCGGTGCAAATTAAATGGGGGTCGTAATGGTAGTACCTTCATTACGAATAACGGTAAAAATTCAAAAATCAACTGATTTTGACGAATCACTTTAATTTTGTTCCACAAATAATGGTAACGATAATTATTTGAGACCTCTGACGAATCCTGATCAGGATATCTTGACGAATCACGGTAAAATTTAACCAATTTGATGCTAATGGTAACTGAAAATGACCGTTTGAGGCCTGACGGTAAAGGGCATTCCTACCCTCTTGCATATTAAGTACTGGAAAGATAACAATGTTCCTGATAAGAATATAAACCCTGCTATGTACATGTACATGATGTAATAAACGACAACCATGAGCCAGATTTGCAACTTGCTTTACTTCTATAGGTAACAGTTGCTTTGTGAAACGTCATAAACCTGTTTATACAAATGTCTTTACTGCCATACACCACTTCGACCTTGGTCGTTTTGGTCCATAATGGTTTTTTTCTTAATGTCCATGCCTATCAAAATTTTGATTATTAAAAAAAAGGCAGTAAATATTTCTTTATACATTATGTATATGATGAGACTTAGAAAATGTCACAGTCATGACAGTTGGCATCAACAGGTAAAAATTAAAATTTTCTTATTTTTCATCAGTAGATTGAAGTCTCGATTAAAGGGGCACTAGTTGTCAAATTCATGTTCATCGATTTGACACAAATTCTCATATTTGATTTATAACCATGTAAAACATTTATCCAAATTATAAAAAAGTCTGAAATTAACAATTTACAGGGCACGGGGTCGATAAAATGTATCTTCGTTTCGTATGTATTTTAGTCAAGACGCCATCTAATTAACTATTGTGTTGACCTCAGACGACCTCTGATGACCATATAAGCGATTTAAACATAAATATAGATATAAATAGATATCTGAATCGTGCAAATGGATTTTTCTAGGTCTGTTTAATTTCATATTTTAGATTGAAAATATATTTTAATCATCGTTTTTACCCGTATACGAATGAGTTTTTGTGAATCGAATCAGTCAATCAAATGATTTACCTTCTTTCACTTTCAATGTTGACATTCTTTTCCTTTAAATAACCCAACACGGACAATGCATGCGTTATCCATCTCTAGCTAAGGGGTTAAATTGAGGTTCACATGAATACGGATTCAATGAGGTCAAGTGAATAATTCGTCATCAATGTTTTTTAGCTAAATGTTTCAAAATTGAACAATTCTGGTTGCTAAAAGCGAATTATTATTTCATTATTTCACTTTCATTAATGATTGAACAAAAAAAATCATACTTTAGATTTTTAAAGGCAGTGCTTTAATGCCTTTCTAGTTGCCGGGTTAATCCTTCCTTCCGCGATATCCAACTAATCTACGTGGGGGGTCATTAGACTCCTAGTAGATCCGGAAATGTTGAATTCTCTCCTCTTCTTATTGCGATATAAAATGTTTTTTGTTTCATTTCATTTACATTGGGAAATAGAGAAACGATCATTGTGTTTTGTTAGTTTTAAAAACTTTTGATATATTAGTATTTTGCATTATAAGCAGTCAACCGATTGACAAACTAGAATTATTTGAATTCCGTGTGGAAAGAGCTCGGGTTAATTTCGAGTGTTATCTGCAATCTAGATGTTTATAAATCATTTCAGTCGTTGATATAATAATTAAAGGTCGACTGAACATGAATTATATTATACAATTTAAAGCGTATTTCTGTTTATGCACGTGAACCCGTCTAACGTTATTTTCGCAGTTATATAAAGTAGCAAATTATCGTTCCTGAATAGGTGGCGCCGTGGTAGCGGATCCTGTTCCTCTTCTTCCGGTTTCTGCACTGTGCAACTATTTCAGTTATATTTTTAATTAACGATGCCAAGTACTTGTTGTTGTGTACCTGGATGTCATTTAAGAGGAGGACATGCATTTCCAAATGACTTAAAAAGAAGGAAAAGTTGGATCAACGCCATGGCCCATACGCAGATTGGACGAGAACACGATGATATCGTGGAGTCCATCTCAATCAGCTGTTGTTTGCAAGGCACGTTTTACTGAAAAAGACTACGTGCAGGAAACTATTCATGGTAAAACTCTATTTTCTTTGTGAAATATATAGTTATATATGTAATCTCCATGCGAATAAACCAAAGTCTGTTTACAACCGCAATTATCGTTTTAGAATAAAAGGGGGTGGGTAATTCAAGACGTCATAATTTTTTGGATTACGATTCAATGTGATCTGTTTGAGATTTTTTGGTGATTGCTACAATTATAATGATTTCTTACAAGAGGTATATCATACTGAGAATTATTTTAGCAGTAATTATGCTAATGTAGTAATGACAGGAATGCATAAGCTATGCCTCATAGACTTTCTTGAAAAATATCAATGACAATGTTAACAGGAACAAAACAATGACATGCTCTCATCTATATTATAGTTATTTAGGTACAAACAATGTACGTTTGTTGCATAAGTCTCTCATTGTTTGTCCTTTGGATTTACATAACATACATTGAATCAGGCAAACATAGTTTTATCCAGATTGTAATGAATAAATCTAGTTAATATTTCGCCAGGTAGTACAAAGTATACATTGCTAATGGAAGTTCATTTAATTATAAAAAATCTAATGTTTTATAACCTTTTTCAGGGCGCAAACCCACCATACAGAGACTTAAGTCTACTGCAATTCCCAGCCTATTTTCCTGGACCAAGCAAGAGACTGAATCGTCCGCAAAAAGAAAAATCAGGGCAGTTTCCTGTGAAAACAAAAGAACTAAACTTGATGAATATTGTAGTAGAAATCTAGAGGAAAGTTTTGATTGTAAAGTTGGTTTTCCTGAAGAAGTCATTCATACTGCAGAAAGGATTTATGACTGTCCACCACCAACTGCCGAGCTAATGTTGAGCTTCACAGATGGAATTACGCAAACACCATCAATGCCTATGTTTTCAGCAGAGAATTTTGAAATGAAGACACGTGACACAGCCATGCATTTTTATACCGGTTTAGAGTTGTATACTAAATTTTTATTTGTTTTGACCACACTTGGTCCAGCAGCACATTGTTTGAGATACATATATTTTCAAATTGATAGGGTGTCAGTTGAAAATCAGTTTTTTTATGACTTTGATGAAATTGAGGCATCATACAACCAACTTTGAACTGTCTAGATTCTAGATTGAATCTAGTGTTAAGAATATTGTGTATACATGGATTGTTTTTATGTCTAAACAGTGGTGTGAGGCTAACACTTGGCCATCTAGTGGTTTAGTCAGGTAATTTTCACCATCCAACTTCAAATTAAAGTTTCCTACGACTTGGATTATTATTGACAGCACAGAATATCCCGTGATAAAACCTAAAGCTCCTAGAGCTCAGGCAACCTTTTCATCAAATAAAAACAGAAACACTGAAAATTCTTGAATGTTCGACACCTGGTGGTTTAGTCAACTATGTCTCTATGTCACATAGAGCGAATTATTGGACTTGGTAAAACATACAAAATTCTAATAAATCCTATGAATGGAACTGAAACAAAATTTTCATCTGAAATAACATTTAGTTGTTTTATGTTGTGTAATTTTAGAACTTGTATTGTGCCAAAGGATGCATAAATAAAAGTGACGCAATGAATTTTGTTCTGATATATATATATTTACAATTACATGCACATGTAAATTGTAATGCATATAAAAATAAGGAGATGTGGTATGATATTCAGTGAGTTTATCAACCTAAAGTGCATAAGAAATGGGTTTAAGCAGTTACAGGTGTTACTGTCACCGTACAATCTCCAACAATGAGAAAAACTCGTACCCTGTAAAAAATTTCAGAGATCTTACAACTAAGTTTTGTTGTCTCACCTTGACTTTGGTGAATTTTTTATATCTGTTGATGTAAATATAAAAAAGAAGATGTGGTATGATTGCCAATGAGACAACTCTCCACACATGCATAAGAGACCAAATGACACAGAAATTAACAGCTATAGGTCAAAGTACGGCCTTCAACAATGAGCAAAGCCCATACCGCACAGTCAGCTATAAAAGGCCCAGAAATGACAATGTAAAACAATTCAAACAAGAAAACTAACGGCCTATTTTATGTAAAAAAATGAACAAATATATCAAAAATGCAACACATAAACAAACGACAACCACTGAATTACACTTTTATAGGCTCCTGACTTGGGACAGGCACATACATGTACATACAGAATGTGGCGGGCTTAAACATGTTAGCGGGATCCCAACCCTCCCCCTAACCTGGGACAGTGGTGTAACAGTACAATATAAGAAAGAACTATAAAAATCAGTTGAAAGAGGCTAAACTCATCAGATGGATAAATACAAATACAAGTGGACGTGGTCGGGTAGTTGTACAT